GTATTAAGAAATACAAATAGGTAGTTACAGAATAGCCATGGGGATGTAAAGTACAGTATAGGAAGTGGAGCAGCCAAAGAACTTATAGACATAACCCATGGACATGAACAATGGTGGGGGGATTGCCTGAGGGAGTGGGGAGGTACTGGGGGGGACAAAGGAAGAAATATCATGATAACCATAATAGTATAGTCAGACGAGATCGGGCGCGTTCAGGGTGGTATGGCCGTAGACCCATAATAGTATAGTCAATAAAATATACTTAAAATTTTTTTGTTGTACTGTCCATTGGGATCCATCGCTTCTGATAATCAGTACATATTTGTATTTGTTTATTTTGGTGATTATTTGTATTTTATGAATGTCGTCATAGAATATACTTCATAATTTATTGCATCTTCCATAATCACCATATTTTTTATTTTCATTGCATAACTTTTACAGTTTTCTACAGTTTATTAACATACCTAATAATGTAATAAATCTTATTAAATGACTATATATTATAATCCCTAATAATATAACAGAAATCATAGTAACAACATCAGGAGAAATAATAGGAGCTCCTAATGTCTTCAAGGTGAAAAAAATTTGTATATATGATATTCCTTATATATAAGATTAAATGGGTTTTCATTAAATGTGTCTTTATTATTATGAGGTTTACTTGGGTATAATTAAATATACAAATGGCTGTCATTACAGTCAATCCTTCTTCCCAAGAAAGTGTTATAAATGTTCCACAGTTCTTTATTGTTTAAAAAAGATGTGCTATTGGTATCTGCATTCACCTGTCCACAACAGGGAGGAAAAGAAGAAAGGGAAAGGGAAAGGGAAGGGAGAGATAGATCCCTGGTTGGTGTCATTCAGTGGATTGAGTGTCAGAGTGAATTGAAGGGTCGCCAGTTCAATTCCCAGTTAGGGCACATGCCTGGGTTGCAGGCCAGGTCCCCAGTAGAAGGTGCTCCAGAGGCCACCACACATTGACATTTTTCTTCCTCTCTTTCTCCCTCTCTTCCTCTCTATAAAACTAAATAAATAACATTTCAAAAAAGAAAAGGAAGTGATAGAAAGAAAAAAACCAAACAACAATATAAGAATTTTAGTCTTTTATTTTAAACTACTGGTCTCTAGGAAAAGGTGAATTCTTCGGGAAGGTATAAATCATTTGATTCTTGTCAGTAATCATCTCTTCAGTGAGGACAATGAATTTGAGATATTTTCTTGAGAAAAAAAATGGCATATGCTCTGTTGGTGGGAATGCAGACTAGTGCAGCCCCTGTGGAAAACAGTATGGAATTTCCTCAGAAAACTAAAAATAGAACTGCCTTTTGACTCAGCAATTCCACTGCTGGGATTATATCTTAAGAACCCTGAAACACCAAATCCAAAAGAACCTGCCGCGGTCCAGCCGCAGCGGGTCAGGGGGTCCCACAGGTGAGGGTAGGCGTCGGCGCTGGGTAACAGACGACAACACGCCTCAAAGGACAGTGAAGCTCTGTTCCGTTTATTGAAAGTACAAGCAGGTTTTTATAGTTTTCATTTCAGGTAGTGATTAATATCTGCAGTATAACATGATCATTTAAGCAGAAAAAATCAACACAAAGGCAATCAGTAAAAGTACAAAAGTTCTCATAGATTCAGTTAAAAATTATTTTAACTAGGAGAGCCATTAATCAGACAGTTAAAAATATCTTATTGTATACCAAAGTTTCTCAGAATTTGGTATAGGGTATAAGGATACGCTAGACTGAGTAGAGAAAATAGGAGATTTATTATAAGACCCTTGTGATGTCTAACTTAGCTATCTACCTTTTTTGCTTAAAATGTTTTTTCAGTGTACCATAAATTCTGACTCCCTAGTGACTGTTCAGTTTGTAATAACTAACTAGCTTTTGTTATTACTTTGCCTGTCTAGTTGATATATATTCCTATTCAAGGTAAAGGAGGGGCTGTTCCTATGTAGCAGGGGGCTTTCAAGGGTACTTCTTTTAAGTTTCTCTAGGAGTTCTTTTTATAAACATGTATTGCACTTTAATTCCTTCTAAGAAAGTAGTGAGATCATCTCCTGATTTCCTAGAGTATTCTATCTTATCTTGGGTGTTTTTCTAATGATTGTTATTGATTAAGCTTGAATTCTCAGATTGTTCTGATTGTTTCCTTGTGCCTATATTCCCTGACGTTCTAGTATGATATTATTATTCTGTTTATTGAGCCGGGAAAGGTCCAGGCACACTATCTGAATCACTGCCAGGGTATTCATAATGATTAAAGCAAAAAGGTCATGATCTCCAAAGCAAGCACAATCACAATAGGTATTGCAAGGCCTTCCATGCCACGTCCACCAGGTTGGAAACTGCTTCCTTGAAGTCTTACACCCCCTCTCAGGACCTTGTCACGGAGAGAGGGATCCAACAGTGGACGCGGCAGTGGACGTGGCAAGAACCCATGCACCCCAATATTCATAGCAGCACAATTTACAATAGCTTAGTGCTGGAAGCAACCTAAGTGCCCATCAGTAAATGAGTGGATCAAAAAACTGTGATACTGCACAGCAGAGAGAAAGAAGGAGCTCCTACCCTTTGTGACATCATGGATGGAACTGGAGAGCATTATGCTAAGTGAAATAAACCAGGCAGTAAGGGACAAATACCACATGATCTCACATTTAACTGGAACATAATCAACAAAAGAAAAAAAAGCAAGCAAAATATAACCAGCAACATTGAAATTAAGAATAATCTGACAGTAACCAAAGGGGAGGTAGGAGGGTATAATGAGGGGAAGTGTTTTCAGGAACTACTGTAAAGATCACTTGGACAAAACCAAGAGGGAGGGTGAAAGCAAGGGAGGGAGGTGGGTTTGGGTGGTGTGGGGGAAGTGGAGTCAGGGGAAATGCAGACAACTGTAACTGAACAATAATAAAATAATTTTTAAAAATTTAAAATGCTCTTGCACCCTTTAAAAAGCCCCCCAATCTACTTATCACACAAAGAATATAGAGTACAATAAAATATTTTTTAAAGGACACATAAGTAACATATTCAATTAAAAAATTATATGTTGCTGGACATTTCTTGTGTGTTTTCAAATACTACATATTCTGCTGCTGTTGGCTGGAGTGTTCAATAATATCAAAAACATCAAGTTAGCGTATACTGATATAGCCACTTCCATTTTTCCTAGGAATCGCATGATATGTTTCTCTCATCTTTTACTTTTAACATATTTTTTAGGTCATTATATTTAAAGTGGGTTTATATTAAGCCATGTTGTTTTGGCCCAGTCTTACAATTTCAAGTGTTTCAAAGTCAGTTTATACTTAGTGATATAATTTCTTTTTCTTGAAAAATACAGGAAACATAATAAGATTGTCAATTATTGCTGTCAAGAAAGTCTCACTTAAAGGGTACCTCCTCAGAAGAGATTTACATGACATTATTATAACAAGTGGAAAATCTCATATATGATTATTTTTAGAATGATAGTACAAAAGTTGTTCAGCTTGGCATTCATTTTTTTCTAAAGGACAGATTTCCCTCTCATTAAGCATATTGAAGTGAGGCAGTAGGGTTTTGATTGGCTATCATCATGGTCAATCATGGTTCCCAAGAAAAAGTTATAAAAGGTCCACAATTCTTTTTTTTTAGGGACATACACATGAACAAATAAGTGCATGTATATGTATACATATCTAGATACATAATCCAGTAGCAATGACAACCCATTAAAGGTGTTTAAAAGGGATATAGTTTAATCCAAGTTATGTTTGTAAAGAATAACCTGGCAGCTATGTTTAGGAAGTAAGAGTATCACCAGGATATAGAGGATAAGTAACACGAGTTTTGCAAACACAGGTATGTAGTTTTAGTTAAAGGCTTTGGTGTGTCACTAAGAAAGTGTATAGATTTCAGTGTTGAGAAAGGAGGGGCAAGAGGGGACCTGAAGATGGGCCACTTATTATATTTTGAGTATGGAGTGAGATGAAAGCTAACACTTAAGGACTTTTGGGGAACAGATCACTCAAAATCTTGCTTGTTTTTCATGTCTTTTCCAGTGACCCACTGGATATTTTGACATCATGTTATATTAATATTATTTAAACTTTGGTAATATGCATTGGAAGCCCTACTCTCAATGAAATATCCCCCCCAAATTATATTTGCTGATGTTTTTATCTTAGTAGCTTCATTAAAAAAAATCTAGGAAGCTTGAACATTTTCTTTCTATTCTGCCACTTCTCTTTTCCTCTGTATACCCATTCCAATTTTTCTGCAATCACATTCTTAGCACCCTGAATCAGTGGAGCTTTCCCAAGTAGCTTACAACATACAAACACAGCTACAGAGTGCCTTTTAAGGTGTCAGAGCATTAAAGGCAACATCTCTCTTCTCATTACTCATGGAAGGTTCCTGAGCTAAGAACATCGTCTTATAGTTCGACTTTCACTGTCTTAACTCCTTTCTCATTCTTTGAATCATTGTTTTCCCATTTCTGTTTATTTCTTTCTGTGACATGAGTTGAACCCCCACAAGAAGTGAAAGTCACCATTTCCTGAATAGTGTGAAATTAAAGACCTTTTGGCTTTTGCCTCTATTCACTCAAATACAAACCTGTCTGTTTTGTAGAGTTAAATGTTATGTGAGCCTTCAGGATGCACAAGCTGTATGATTATCAAAGACATCCTATTCAAGTCCTGTTGAGACAAACTACACTATACCAGTGCTTAATAATTTTATAAAGCTACACTGGAGAATTTAAGAGCATGTAAATGCTTTCATTTGTTTTCAGCTTTAATTATTCCAGCATGATATTTGTTTTAAATTATTTGTATTTCTTGAACAACATATACATATTTTTAAGGAGTATGTTAGTACTAACATCTTAAGTCATTAAAACTGTAGGGCAATTGTAATTGCAAAATTTTTAAACACTAACCAAAACAGAATTACATTTATCTGCATAATTTTGTGACTGCTTTAATGGAAAGAGGAGATATATTAGTAAGAAATCTGAACATTTCTCTTTAACATTTTTGCCAGTGAATCCAGGACTTTCTTATTTCTTAGACTATAGATAATTGGATTTAGCAAAGGAATGATGACAGTGTAAAACAGAGAGTCCATCATGTCTTGGTCATCCACTTGAGCAGATGCAGGACGCACATACATGAAGAGAAGAGAACCAAAGAATAAAGACACAGATAGGAGATGAGCTCCACAGGTAGAGAAGGCTTTCTTTATGCCTTGCACAGACTTCTTTTTTAAGACTGTAAAAAGAACAAGTGTATAAGAGATAAAAACAGTCAGTATGGTGAACACTTGTACTGACCCGGAGGAAATAAAAACCACCAGAACATTAATGGAAGGGTCAGTACAGGAAATCTTAAACAATGGTATGATGTCACAGTAAAAGTGATGTATTATATTAGAATTACAAAAGGTTAGTCTGAACAAAAGACCTATATGAAGAGAAGCATAAAGCACAGCACCTACAAATGATAAGACTAAGAGCCAGATGCACAGTCTGTTGGTCATAATCACTGGATAAAGTAGTGGTTTGCATATGGCTACATAGCGATCATATGCCATTGTTGCCAGCAGAAAACATTCTGTGCATGCACTGAATATAAAGGAAAACAATTGTATGATGCATTCAGAGAAAGATATCTTTTTACTGTTTTTGCTCTTGATTAGGAAGTTGACCAGAATCTTGGGGGTGACTGTAGATGACATCCAAGCATCCACAAAGGCTAAATTCCCCAGGAGTAAGTACATGGGAGTGTGAAGGTGAGCATCATTGCAGATGAGAGCAATTAGACCAAGGTTTCCCACCATGGTGATCAGGTATACCACCAAGAACACCAGGAACAAGGGGATTTGCAACTCTGGTTTGTATATAAGTCCTGTGAGAATAAACTCTGTCAGCAATGTTGCATTCTCCCTTTCCATGTCTTCACTTAATGTTGCCTGAAATGAAATGGAATATGTCACTCAGGATTTATAACATAAATAGCAGGGGGGAAAGAGTTGAAATAAAAACCATGCATGTCAGAATCCCCCATTCATTTCCTTACCTCTATAATAGAATTTATTTTGAGGTAATTTATGAAGTGGAAGAAAAGGCAATGATTTCACTTCAAAATGTGTGGCATATTTAGAAAAAGAAATGCATTCTAAGCATGTGTTATAATTATGGGGATACCATTAATTGTAATAGGGAAATTTTCAGTTAAAACAGGGATGCAAGGTCAAGGGAAGAAGAGTGTGATGAACAGCCAGGGTAATAAAGTAAATTGAATTCTATGTGAAGAATCTTGAACTTTATTCCTCAGGCAGTAAGCAGGCATTGAAAATTAAGAGATGTATAGTTGTTTTGTAAGGTATTATAAAAGAATGAATGCATAGCATAGTGGTGTAGAGAATAGGCTGTTGGGAGGGGAAATTGGAGTCAGGACTGTTACCGAACAAGAGGTCCAAGGGAGGGGCAATACAATATTTGGTCCACCTAGGGATGCCCAGAACTGCTATACAACAGGGGCCCCTCCCAAAAACAGAATACTAAAATCTACTGGGCCCTTCTGTCCGCCGCCAATTGGAAAGACATCTCTTAATGCCAGAGATTTGTGAAAAGGAAACAAAATGTTTATTTAATACTATTCAGGCCTAATGCCTCCACTAAAATATCAAAGTCCTTTAGGGTATACACCTACACCCACACAGCGTTCCCTTCTCCCACTGTCCCAACTCCGGGTACCGTAAATCAGGAAAAGAGCACACGTCTGTATTGCAGGCCGCTGGCACCGTCAGCTGTGTCACCGTGCAGGCAGGATCTCGAGTTAATCCAAAGTACTGTGGAACCCTCTCATGGTCCACTGGCAAGAGTTCTTTGTACCCAGTTCCAGTCAAAGTCTCTCTTGCTTTTTCAGGCCCCGCGGCCAAAGGGGGCACCCCAAAGCCGCGTGGGCCTCTTCTACCAAAGCTGCAGGAGTCCGCACTCCACCAAAACTATGTGGCTTTCTTTTTCACCTGGCTGCAGGGATCTCCATTCTGGCAAAGCTGCGTGGTTCTTCCCTTTCTCCTGGGAAAGAGGGGGTCCACACCCTGCCAAAACCACGTGGCTCCCTCTTTCACCTCACCAACAGGGGGTCCTCACTCTGCTGAAACCGCGTGGCTCTCTCTCATCTGGCCAAGCGGGGACACTTTGTGTCCTGGAGCCAGTCTTTTCCAAGCTCCCACACAGGCCTTCTCACTCAGGAGCGCAGCCCCTAGTTACATCCTGAGTCCAAGCCCTTCTCACTCCGGAGAGCAGACCTTAGTTCCCATCTTGAGTCCTCCTAGTTCCATCCTCAGTCCCCGCTAGTTGCTCTCTTCTTCCTGGCTCCAAACTTGGCCACTGCTATTTAACATATCTATGAAACTAGTTAAAGGTATAGATATGTTAAATAATCATTCCAGAGGTTAGCTGCAAAAACTTTTGCTATGCAAAACAGCTCTCAATGGCCTGGCTCCATTCATCCCTTCCCCCCTGGGGGGGGGGGGGGGCGGTGAGGACATCTTATATGTCTCTCCAATATTTCTATACACTTTGAATTCTGGACACCATTCCAAATCTGTTTTTTGGGGGGCCCCCCTGGCTGCACCCTGTATCAGGACCACTAGACAGAAAGCTAATAGTCATGCCCAGTGATTCCTAAACCAGGTTACACATCAGAATTGTCTGAGGAATTTTTTATTGTTGTTCAAGTACAGTTGAGGTTTTTTTTGCAAAATATAGGTTATGAAGTGCCGTTGTAGAAATTGATGGAGTGGGTGAAGAATATGGTCTATATCTGCAGTTTAAAAATCCTCTCCAAGTGATTCAAATGCATGCCAAGTGTTGGGAGTGATGAAGAGAAATAAGAGATAGATGCAAAAGAATTCAGGAGGTAGAGTGACTGGGACTGTAACACAACACACATGGGGTTGAAGGAGAAAGAAGTCATGGGGTGACTGCATAAGATGGTCATCAAAATGAAGATGAGGAACTCAGATGCAGTGGCTAATTTGTTGGCAGAGTATCCTTCAAAATCCATGCGAGATTTATGCAGTGGTATGAGTCTAGCAGAGATTAATAGAAATAGTCTTAGTAGTCATTAGCATAGCTGAGGCATATTTAGTGATGACCTATCCATTGGATAGTGAGCATAAAGTAAAGAGAAGAAAAGCTCAGAAAGCAACTTAAGGAAATTGAATTAAAGAGGTTATAAAGTGGATGCACAGTATATATCAGATGGCCAACATCTGATCTTGTTTTATACCACATAGTCTTGGTGACTGGTGGAGGTTACCTCCCACTCAAGAAGCCTAAATAAGTGGCTAGATATTAACTTTCCCATCCCCCTTTCACCTACCTGCAGGGAGGAAACTTGACCTAGACTGGGCAAATCAAACACACTTAACCTATACTTAGAATATGGAGAGAGGGAGAAAATGAACAGGAACAAAAGAGAATGTTGGTAGCAAAGGCAGAAATATGAAGATGGCAACAAATGTATCCTGCATCCATTATAATGGTATTGTCAGTGAGAGCTGGCATTCCAAGTTCAGCAGAAGTGACAGCAAGTCTCACTGACCTTGTGTTGAGATGTGATGTAGCCTGATAAAGGGCTCCTTTGCTTTCTTTGTTCCTGCCCATTTTTTCCAGCTTATGCCTGCAGTTTCTGTTACGCTTCTATGCTTGAGCCCATTTCCACTCAATTCACTCATTTCCTGTTGCAACCAAGAGGCCTCCCTAACACAAAGGAAGATTAGGGACAGATCAGAAAAAGATATTACTGAGCAGAGTGATCATAAAAGCAAGCAAATGGCTGGAAAGCTGAGTGAACTTTTAAAAAAAAGGTATCCAAGAAGAAAGAAATGATGTATATGTGAAATACCAAAATAAATGCTCTACCTAGTAGAACAAGGAGTTATCAGATTTCACTCAGCGTGGAAATCAAGAGATTTTTAGTAGCTTTAGTGAAAGCAATTTTCATTATGTGATGGAATTGAGCCAAAAAATGAGAAGTGAAATGGAAACAAGTCAGTGATGCAGAATGATGTAGAGTATCCCTAGAAATATGGAGAACAGTTGCCCTTTTTCTAATTCTCATAGACACATGCAAGGTTTTTTCTTCTACAATATTTTAGTAAAAGATTTCAAAAGAGAGGAGAATATTGGATAGCATCGAGAGAAGAAAGGGAACAGATGAACTGGGAAGGAAATATGTGTTTATGAAAAGAAAACAATGGAGAAGTGAGTAACAAATGAAAAATAACAGAAACATAGGTACACCTTGGGGAGACAAGCCAGACAAGGCTGAGAGAGGCTGCAGAGGAGATAGGGAGAAAGGCTCATAGGCTTGGGGGCAAATGTCTTAACTCAGGCAGTCCTTAAGGTTGTCAGTCCTAAAAATATTTCTATTTAACTTTTTAAAGTTTATTTTTCTATGAATATATGTATGACAAAGACATGTCCATTTTAAATTCCATTTTATAAATTTTGTTGTTAATGAATATGTTAGCACTGCCTCAGAGTTCTTTCCATATTTAAAAGTTGCTTTCTTTTGCTATTACAGTGATGAAGTGACTTTCTCTAGAAATCCTGTTTGTTTTACTTGAGAGAACTTTTATCTTGACCAATTGTATGATTTGTGTGTGTGTATGTTTTGCAAAATATAATTAAGCCAAAACTGGATCCTGAATATAGACAATAGAATTAATGAATGTCAATAATTTCAGTTGTTAAGTAGACTTTTATATGGAATGGCTTTTCTTTCAAATCACTAAATAATTGGAAACTCTCAAGTTCGATTCGTGTAGGTACTTATTTACTCATAAATTCTGGAAAGCATAGTGGAAGGACAATTTTTACATACTTCCATATATATATATATTTACCTTATAAAATCATATATTAGGTTAAGGAAATAATAAAACACATCACAGGCAATAATTTAGTCTTAACAGATATTTTGCATATCAACATGTTAGTCCTGAAAATAAAATGCATAATTAATTTACTACTATTTTTTCTTTCCCTCTGGCTATTGACATCTTGTAAACTCAATTTCAAATTACTATACATTAAATGGTACTTTAAATTTTTACATAAATAACACTGAATATTATACAAATCATTCCTTTCTTACCCTTGTCTTTTAAGAAATTGTGGAGGTTCCTTTAAACATTAGGCTTTCTAAAGTAGAAAATATGTAGTAGCACAGGAACAACAATAGCATAGGCAGCAATTCTTTGTACACTGATTCATTTTGCAGGCTTCATATCTCAAGCTAAGGAAAACAATATTTGTATTAATTTCCTCTGAACAAAAGACTCAACCAATCATACAACTCTGTGCTTTTGCCGGAAGAGAAGGGAGCACAAAACTAAATTTCCCATGATAACGCCCAGGGATTCCCTTTGGGGCGAAGCTAATGGGCATTGTGGACCTGGTAATGTGTGAGAAGTTCATATTGTTCCACAGGTCATTACAGATGCAAACTTCATAACCATCACGTCATTGTCGATAGTTCCAGGTTTAAGAATTGAAATCGTACTCTATGTCACTATTTTTTACCACAGATAACACTTCTGACATGATGCTCTGAGTACTTGGATTAGTCCTGTCTGAGCTAGTCATTCAGGATTTCAATGAAGCCAAAATTCTTGATACCCTTTGGGTGCCAGCCCCAAGTAGCTGTTTTCATGCAAACTACAGCTCACATCTTAGATCTATAGCTAACTCCCCACTCGAGCCTGAAATGTGATGGAAAATTACAATGGTCAAAGAAAGAATTTTGGTCAATACCTTCTACTCACTCTTTTAGGTTAATTTGCAAAAACTTGTTTACTATAGGAAGATTTGAAAAATAATGTTAAGTAATAATAAAACAAAAAATATCTGTAAGCACCTAGAAGTACTACTAATATTTTAGTATGAATCTTTCTCAATTTTTCTATCATATATTATATAAGCATGCATACATCTGCATGTTTGCGATAAGGAAATTGGGCAACACGCATTCAGTTTGGCAAACCACCAATTCCTGCTTAATGCATTTAGAGTGGTAACACTAGAGGAAGGAACTCAAGCTCCTACTCTGCTCCTTTCTGTTTTCCCCCTTTCTTCTCCTAAACAAAGGCGATATTGACATGAGACATGAAATGACACAATCCTGGCAGGATACATGGGAGGATATCTTGGCATCCAAAGGGTGGCCTGTGGCTTTGAGTTACCATTGGTTTTCTGTTCTTTCCACAAAAAAGCTAAATAGTCTCTGGGCGTGCTTTCCTGAAACAGGTCCAGTCATCTCACTCTTCTTCCTGACTGGAGAAGTAGGTCATCATTTACTTTTAGAGCATTGAGAACCCCCACAGTTCAGAGACTGTCCATCTCTTGCCCGGTTCCTGGTCTGTGAGGATGGGAGCACGCAGGAGGATGCTGGAAGCTTAGACAGGTTAGAGGGTCTAACCTGCCCAGCTCCAGTCCTCCCCTCACAACCCGCCCCCCGAGCCCATCACCTACACCATCACCTGGGAATAAAAAGGCCAAATTTGAAGCCAGGGCTCCTGCCGTGGGGAGTAAGGCCCCAAACTGAGGACCTGCACCACATTCTTTTTTGGAAGTTATTTTTGTATTGCATATAATATTCTGAGTTGGCAGACTTTTTCCTTCACAATTTAAAATTGTCACTCAATTATTTTGTGTTTGTACTTTTTCCCCTCCTCTGGCTACCTTTAAACTTTTCTTTTATCTTTGGTTTTTCGCCACTTCAATGTATAGTATCTAAGTGTTTTAGTATTTTTATTTTGTGATTTGGTTTCTGTTACTTTTGATATTTATCCTGATTCAGGTTCTATAAGCTTCTTGGATCTTTGGTTTGATAACTTCCCTTAATTTTTAAAAATTCTTGACCATTATATTTTCAAATATTTCCTCTGTCCCAGTTTTTTCCTCTCACATTCCAATGGTGTATATGTTAGATAACAAGTACTTGATTTTTTTTACTTTTAGCTTTCTTTGTGCTTAATTTTCATATCTACTAATCTATATTAAAGTTCAGCATTATTCACCATGTCCAATTTATTGATAAATTCACCAAAGGCATCCATTACTTTTATTCTAGTGTTTTAAAAACAAATTTTACTTGACGCTTAAAATATGCTTTATACTTATCTCTCTGAAATTGCTCATCTGGTCATGAATGTAAACTTTAACATATTAATCACGATCATATAAAATTTTCTGGCTGATAGTTTTAATTTGATTCATATTTGAGACAGGTTTTTTAGATTGCGTTGTATTTTAACATCAGGTTGTTCCACTTTTGCTTTTTAAATTTTGTCCCACTATTTTAAAAATGAAATCTGGTCTTCATGTATAGAACAGTAAAAATGGAAGCAAAGAGTAATTAAAGGCCAGACAAATGAGATATACTAAATTATGAAAATCTAAAATTATCTTAAATAACTGAAGCCTGTAGCTAAGTTAACAAGTTAAATGGGACATTGAGTTTCAACGTGCACAGAGCATAGGTTTTGTGTGGTGGAGCAGACTCTTAAAGGCAGAGTGGAAGAATAAACCACTTTAAATTCTAGTGGATACATCAAGAACCCCCAAGATGCTACCGAGAATCTACTAGAACTGATACATTAATTCAGCAGAGTAACACTATACAAAATGAATATCTAGAAATAAGTTGTATTTTTAGATACCAATAATGACAGACAGAAAGGGAAATTAAGAAAGCAGCCCTACTCACAATTGCTAAATAATGAATAAAATACCTAGGAATACATTTAACCAAGTATGTAAAAGACCTGTACTCAGAAAATTATATGACGCTGAGCAAAGAAATTGAAGAAAATATAAATAAGTGGAAGCATATACCATGTTCAGAGAGAGAAAAAACTAACATCACTACATACTACCCAAAGCAATCTATAGATTCAATGCAATTCCTATTAAGATTCAAATGATGTATTTCACAGAATTAGAACAAATATTTCAAAAATTCATAAGGGACCACAAAAGGCCTCACATAACAATAGTGATCTTGAGAAAGAAGGACAAAGTTGAAGTAATCACATTACCTAATATCAAATGATACTATAAAACCATAGTAATTAAAACAGCATGGTACTGGCATTAACAGACAGAAAGATAAATGGAACGGAATAGAGAGCCCAGAAATAAACCCACACTGTTATAGTCAATTAATATTTGACAGAGGAAGCTAGCACATACAATGGACTAAAGGTGGTTTATTCAATAAAATGGTGTTGAAAAAATTGGTCAGATACATGCAGAAAAAACTAGACCACCATCTTACACAACACACAAGAGTAAATTCAAAATGGACCAAAGACTTCAATGTTTGACCTGAAACCATAAAAATCCTGTAAGAAGACATAGGCAGCAAAATCTTGGACATTGCTTGTAGCAATATTTTATCGGATATATCTCCCCAGGAAAGGGAAACAAAAGAAAAAATAAACAAATGGGACTATAGCAAACTAAAAAGTTTTTGCACAGCAAAGGCAACTATCAACAAAATAAAAGGGCAGCCCACAGAATGGAGGAACCTATCCGCCAGTACATCTGATCAGGGGTTAATATCCGAAATTTATAAAGAACTTCCAAAACTCAACACTAAAAACCAAACAACTAAATTAAAAATTGAGCACAGGACTTAAATAGACAGGTCACACAGATGGCCAACAGACATATGAAAAGATGCTCCATGTCACTGAACATCTGAGAAATGTGGAATAAAATCACAATGAGATACCACCTCACACCTGTCAAAATGGCTACCATCAGTAAATCAACAAGCAACAAATGCTGAAGAGGGTGAGGAGAAAAGGTAACCCTTTTCACTATTGGTGAGAATGCAGATTGGTACAGCCATGTTGAAAGCAGTATAGAGAGATACCTAAAAAAATTTAAAGTGGTTCTGTCTTTTAAACCAATGATTCTACTTCTGGGAATATATTTGAAGGAACCCAGAAAGCTAATTTGAAAGAACATAATCACCCATATGTTAATTTCAGTGTTACTTACAATTGCCAAGATATGGAAACAGCCTGAATGTCCATCAGTAGATGAGTAGATAAAACAACTATGGGACGTTTCCACAGTGGAATACTACTTGGCATTAATAATGAAGAAAAATTTACCCTTTGTGACTGTTAGGATGGGCCTGGAGAGTATTATGCAAAGTGAAATAAGCCAGTCAGGTAAAGACAAATCCCGTATGATCTCACTCATATGTGAAATCTAATGAACGAACTCAACTAACAAGCAAAAACAGAGACAGACTCATAGATGGGGAGTGGGATGACAGCTGGGGGGAGGTTGTGGGGTGAAGGGATTGAGCAAAAATGAAAAAGGACCCATGGACACAGACAATAATGTGATTGCTGGGGCAGAGGGTGTAAGGAGACTAAATGGTAATGGAGAAAATACAATCAAGATTAAAGAAAATATGGAATTCTACTTGAATCTGACTGAATAACATGAGGATAAATAGAATATTTTCAAAGTAGTAAGAGTCCTCCAATCTTTAATATTTTTGTAGAAGCAATAATTGTGTCGTGGTGAAATAAGATGGTACATGTATGCCTGGTTCCTATACCAAATATTGAATTCTACCTTAGAAAACCCACGGTGTCTTAATTTGTATTTTGCCAGACGTGGAGATATGATATGATTCGAGTACAAGTAATTGACCTGTGAATAGTTGATGAGTAAATACATGAGCAGTGGGGCAGGAAAGGGAATGTAGCCAATGAAGACTGATCTATGAAATAAGTTTCAAATGTGGGCAACCAAGCTTAATCTCTTTTGGAAACACCATGAGCCAGTGTAGAGCATGAACTTTCAATTTATATCAACCAAAGGACAAACAGGTGGAGAGTTTATTCATCAACTCGCATCATCTCCCATTTGTTGATAAATGGTCCGGGGAAGATTCCATGAATAGCATTCATTCCCTAGGTCTTAGGATGACTTAAGTGAGGGTAGAATAGCTCTGGCCAACAGTGAAAGTCCTCGGATGCAAACGTACGATTAGAGAAGATACGGGCAGGCACCAACAGCATCTGTGACAGGGAACGTATAGGAGGAATCAATGAGCAATGCGATCTGTGATTCTCATCAAATGAGCCATTCAACACTACTATTATAGTGGGTCAGAGTTTCCCTCAAGCAATCCATTCTCAAAAAAACTAAAGGTACGATATGTTTACAAATAACCAAAGAAGTGA